AATTCTAACATGTAACATCTCATTTACGTTAAATTGTCGCCAGTGGTACATCCCGATAAATGACAGTGTCGAATCTGTCGGGCGTCGCAGTCACTTATTGCAATAAGTAGCGGAAGCAGATCTTCAAAACGTAACGTGAATAACGGCATCGTGCAAGCAAAAACGTTGATCTTTGCAGTCATCAGATCGTGTTCACTGTTTCTTCTCTAGAGTGTGAACTTCTCTGGAAGTTGTAACTACCTTCTAGGAAAGCGTCTTGTATTATGGCTGCCTAGACGTATAATTTTAACGCTAAACATCCTAAACGGAAAACATATTTCCGTGATTCGACAACTAAATTGAATGGGCTACGACTGACCGCAGTATCCCAACTGCTGGAAAGTTATTTATACCCAACCGGCTCCGTTTTGTTATCTGATGCCACAATCTACCCTTCTAGTCAACGGTCGACGAAGTCGTTTCAGAATGCTGGATTAAGAAAATATCGTCCTTTTTGGGTTCGTTCGGCGCTGTATCCGGTTGTTTTGCTTTTTTAGGGCTTGGTGACCAATTCATTGTCGGCCAGCGTAGTCCCGATGGGCCGCAACAGGCTAAACAGAATAACGATGGAATAATTGCGAAACATACAAAGGCAAAAGGGCAAGAGGGAAGTTTTGCCAGCAATAGCGCAGTCGTCAGCATTTGCAGGGAAAACGTGATCCCTGACGCCATTTACCTCTCGTGTCTAAATCATCTTCAACTTGAATAAAACGACCTCACCATTTTCACCATTGTAATAATGTCGTTTGGCTTCGGTCATTAAAAAAGCGGATGGGGCAAGGTCAGAATAAATGAAACAGGATTATAGTCAAAACAACTACAGCGTAGGTGAGTAGGGCTTGCCAAATGAAAATTGCCCTTAGATGATAGCTCTTCTTGGTAAGTACAATGGGATGAGCGAAGGGAATCGAAATACACTGTAAAATGAAGCGGACTGGTAAACGGATTCATGATTATATCTTTGACCATACTATGACCCATTGTTTCATTTTCAAAAATAGAAATATATTTGGTCTTTTTTTAAACGCATAGGCTGTTCCACTCCACAAATTGTGAAATTATTTCTCCTAGATGTTTGTAGATTATATTTGATTGTAGCCATGCTTGTTGACTCCCTTATGCAATCGGCATATACAGTAACTTTTGTTCCCTTGTACGTTAACCAAGCTTGAAGTTTACACTTGGAGAAAAAATCTATTTAAAAGACACAAAACGAATTTAATTTGAATCAAGTCGACCTAAAGCGTGCTTATTGTTACAGTTTATAAGATAAATTATCACTGCATCTGTGAGATACTAAAGGTTGTATAACGACAGCACAACGGATACTTCTATTGTCTTCCCGGAATAGTAAGTTGATTGATATTGTACGTTATACTTGAATGTTCTCGTATTGTGCGGAACATTTTCTTTTTCCAACGGTACGGCCATGATCCTAATCGATCTTTTTCTCGAAACTTCTCTGCTATGAGCCAAACAGTCGTGAGCCTCATCGCAGCAATAGCCGTCCGTACCCCCACGCCCAGCATACCGAATAACGTAAACAAAATTAAGTCCGATTCTCCGGCAAATCGATCTTGCAAGGCCAATAGGGATGCAATTATTATTATAAATAAAGGACCACTTAATTATATCATTTTATTAACGATAGGTTTTTCCAGCAGGCTTTGTCAACGGTGACAATGGCTCCCGTTCGGTATCGTTGGCCCGTTCAGTATTTGCAGACGTCACCAGCTTGTTTATTTCCTGAATATAGTCTTGGATAGCTCTATAATCAATAATTTTTTGCGATACAGTTACTGTTTGAAACCAATTGCGATTAATATAAAATAGCTGACGAACATTTGGCGGGCGCTGACAGTCACGAAGCACGAGACCTCCGTGCTCCGATGCCTCATCAATAGTAACACACTGGTCTGGATATAAAGATGAATTGATCGTAAACAGAATATCACCGTACTGTGTAGTATGGTCATACTGTAGTTCCAGATGCCACCGCTGTTGACGAGTTCCCGAACAACGAGCTGTACCCACATCGGAGTTACGGAGACCTCCTTGACATTCAAGGCACATCGGCATAAATGGCTTGTGGACTCGAAGCATCGGCCCGTCAAAATTCCACTTCAGCCAACCCCGTGCAGGACAGTTTTCGTTGAATTGTACCTGAGAACAACACAACATATAGCTTTTGTTTTTTTATAGCATAAATGCAACCAAGAACACTCGTATGTGTATAACATTAGTGGATATGTGCACTGACGGCTAGATTTTATGAAGATGTTCCACACAGCATCCGTCCACAAATATAAGCGCTTATTTAAGCTAAATCGTTTCTCTTTCACAGTCAATCGAATGGCTGGACTTTGCAACCTGCAGAAAACACCATTTAATATCATTATTTTCAAGTATATTTGCAGCCGACCATACACTCGAGCAGTCAGAAAGAATTATATCATACGTTCAAAGTTTACCTTGAAATTCTACGTATGACCCTGAAGAAGAATGTTCTGGCTACTGGAATCAACTGATAGTAAACAATCTAATGAGTGATTTGGTGTCGTACCTGTCGAAATCCAATACTGCAACAACCGGCGTCAAGACAACCCTTATTCCATTCTGTCCGAATATACTGGCCTCGATCTTGAATGATTTCGGCTCTCGTGTCTTGATACGTCTTTGTCAGCCACTGAATAGTGCCGAAATTCGGTACCATCTGGCTAAGAGTCAATGGCGCTAAAAGCGTAGCCATTATGGCCCAAACAACGCGTGGTGAAAGGACAGACGGTGAAGCACTCCTTGAAAGCATCACGTTTGCAAAAGCTCTTTTGACTTCTGGGTTAGATGATGCTGACACAGGAAACAAATCTGTTCAAGTCTATTTGACTGCTGCTCAGCAACCAGGTTTGAAGTGCAACTTTTTTTAGGGAGAGGGCGAACCATTTAGCTCTTCACCAGCGACATCTTGTGGTAAAGTTTGTTTACTAAACTTTCATGGGGCGCGCCAACGACCAGGAGATTTTTTCTAACAATATGCTCTAAACGGGACCATGTGTAATAAAGGTACAGTGTGCAGAGAAATAAATTTGTTTTTGGAATTGAGCTAGTTATTAGCAACACTAGTGCAACAAAGTACATACGAATTAAATGATAGATGTTAATTTAGTGTGTATTGCAGTGTTTATAGTAAACCTGGTGCCAATCCGATGGCCTAATATGGGGCTTTGGCGCGCCACTGTGGAAGACTATATCCATGAAGTGAGTGGGCGTACTCTATCTCGCATACCCTCTCAAAGCGGGAGCTGTAGTGTGCCATAAGATTTTCTCGAGTTCTGCCGCAGGGCAGGCTTAACGATACTGTGACATACAAGTGCGCAGGAGAGTTCCGAAGTGCAGGCGGTGGGATGCTTCGATATTGTAGAGGACTTAGACTAAGCGGGCCTCGTTGTGCCCTTTATGCCTGTGTCTGGGCACCAAGGGCATCCAGTGACCGATCGGCAAGCCACTCGAAAGCTCAGCATTTCACATGCGGATGCTGAGCGATCTAGCTAACTGGAAATCGGGTCCAAATAATTCAAAACACACACAATCCAACCCCTGATTGCTGAGCTGGCCCTACCTGGAAAACAAAAACATTCGAAGAGGTGAAGGGCAGAATTGTGCACTCACTGATCAGCTTCAAATCGTTTATTTTAACACTTGATGGTAAAGTTGGCACGAGAACAAAATGTAGGCACAATTTTTGCGACTATAGCTGTGGGCATTGCAGTCTGTCTCAGTAGCCCCAGCTAACCTAATAGACTATTCTATATATTAATATCATTTACAAAATATTTAATAATAATATACATGTTAAAGGTCATAACCTTCCACAGGATTCTAAAAGGACGAATCGTTCAAATACAATTTCAAGATCGGATTCAACATTTTACCCACCCAGTGCTATATGTTATGAGTAAAAAACAGAATGAAATAATGCCAACACGCACGTGTCGTGAAAAACTTACTTGATACATTGTAAGTTATCACAGTTACTCTTGCAATTCAACATTGCCAAAAACAATCTATCACTAATCAACTTCTAAAGGTTAACTGTCTACATTGTTTCCACATTTTTTACAGAACGGTTTTCTTCCTAATTTAACGCGCTATTATATTAGGATAGAGGAACAAAGGCTATACGAGAAGCAGACGTGTTACATGTAAGCGTAGAAAAAAATAATTCGGCTCCCGCCAAAAAGGCAGTCGTTGTCAAAGCGTCCGAAAGAATCGGTCAATATATATTTATTTGTTGGTCGATCTCGATTGAGTCTCCGCTTCTTGATGCATTATGCACAGAAGACAAATGTTATCCCTCTTTGATCATGCTTTAAAAGCGATTTTTAAACGAGTTGATCGATCTTCCTTTTCGAGTGCCAAAGCTTTCATTGTCTTCGCTGGTGCCTCTATCTGGCGTATACACCAAACGTGGCTTCTTAATGCACCGTCCTGTTTTATGTTTACGTAAAGCAGACAGGCAGGCAGGCAGGCAGCAGGGCTGAATCGAAAGGAAACAGCAGGTGGTAGCGAGCTGCAACAAAAAAAAATTCTGTTGGTTTTACAAATATAAAAAAAATATTGGAAAAGTGTACTGGAAATTATTGTACCGCACCAAAAAACGAGGTTAAAACGTAAATGTCGACCGCTGCATTAGTGGTTTGAATGTCTGGCGTATTTAGTGTATACAAAAATGTTCTATGCATAGGAGTAACTCTAATTTGGAAAATATGGCTAGGCCAATAATGGTCTTATATTAAGTAGGCAGACTTATACAAGTCAAAAACCTACAGCACAGTATTAATCAAAGCACTCGATTATAGGCTTACTATGGAAATGTGATTCTTACCTTTTTGTGTTATTTCTATTAACTAACTTGCTCCAGAGACTTCTCCATAATAATTTTATAATCCCTGTGTAATTTTTAGTGCCTGCAAAAATCAGCGGTGGCCGGCGTTGGTTCAATGTTACGTACGGCCAGAAACTTCTTCTCGAATGTCAGGCACGAGGTGAGCCTGCGCCACAGATTATCTGGCTCTATCACGGCGAACCGGTAAGCTCTCTGTACAGTTCGATAGACTTATTTGCTTCAAAAATACGCAGAACGTGCCTTTGTGCACGTACTGCGTACACTTGCAAGCGTAACCGCAGTTTTGTCCTGCCTATTAAATACTATGAATAGATTATGGTCGGTGTGTCCATTATGGGCCGCTCATGTTTCAGTATTGTACCAAAGATAGATCCTGGGTTAGCTATGATTCTCTCCCGGCAATGATTCTGTGTCTTCAGGGTGCTCAAGAAGATACACAACTTAACGATAGGTTAACCTATGTTTAAGGATTTCGAGGGTGCTTTGATTGAGGGATTAACGTGCTTCGATTTAGACAGATTTGTTTACTTAATAATTAATATTTTTATTAGAAAATATAATTTTAATTGTATCATTCATCGTTCTTGTTTATGGATTTTATATATATATATATATATATATATATTATAATTTTTTACTAGCTATAATTTTTTATTAATATAAATTGCTTTCGTAAAATAACTAACCGTAACTATCCTTTTGGGTCTAATAGTGAATAAACCACTCAATACACAATACTTAATTTTGCATGAAACATCTCTCTAGAATATAGTACAATTTAATATGAAGATTTAATATTAGCTAAACTTATTAATATATCATACTCATACGCATCTTGATAGTCGTTGGGGGTTCTTGTCTAAAATAATCATTCGTGACAGATGGGATTACTACGAAGCAGTAGGTTCTCGTTTTCACAAATGTCTGGGGGTCTTTACTTAGAAAGGCATGCCTCAAATGAAGACATCTCTTTCGTGTTTGATAAGCCCATGACCTCTAGATGGCGATGTCTTTCGAGACGGTCTGCTTCGATGAATCCATTTCTCATAACGCGGGGTAGTTTCGCATGAAATGAACGACTACCTTACATTGTTGTTTATGTTTTTACGAACATCTTTTCAGGCATAATGCTGCTAATTAGCCATGCCGTAAATAATATTTCCCTGTCAACTATTTTATAAAACGAGTTTTCTGAGCATCGACGTGATTTATCAAACATTAGGTGATATTTCGATTGATGGCTAGGGATTAGAGCACTGTGCAAGTACACATGTACATACGTACAGAAAGTGTAACCCGACTACGCTTTTTGGGTGCATACATATACATCGGTAAAAAATGAGAATATATATTTTTGGCAAGCTAACCGGAAGATGTGTCCATGTATCGCAATATGTTGAAATACATTTTGGAAAATCATAATATAACAAAAATAAAATCTACCATTTGCCTTCTTTTTTGTCTGTTTTTTTTTTTGGCATTTTTCTCAATTGCTGCATAACCAGCCCGTAAAATGAGCTATCCATATTATATCAGTAAGTGTCGAATATAACTAAAAAATGTCTTCTTTATATATGATGCCCAAGCGACCCTTAGCCTTCCGAGATTCACATAATATCTCCATGTAAAACACTTTTTGGTGTTTTATAATTCTAATTGGAGAACAATGGCCACATACCTCCACACAGGAAAAGCCGAATTAATATTAGTGTTATGGTTTTCAAGAGATGAAGTCGTAGTGATGAAATCGATCATTCACTCGTAATAGAATCATTTTAATATCAGTTTAGCATCACCATCGACAAACTATTTTCTGGGACAATGGGATTGCTTTAATTCTTGTAACAGACAATTTCTCTACGATGGCGTAGTTGGCTCCCATGATACGTATGAGCACGTATGAACGTGCTACATACATGGCAATAATATGCATTGACCATTACTAGGGTCATGTGTGAGCCTTCTTCGACTGGTTGGCCTTCCACTTATATTCTCGTTCTGCTACCGAATGGGTGACTGCTGCCTTACTCTTCCTTAGTTACCTCCTTAGATTCTGATGACTGATGAGGTGTTCCTCCTGGGGGACTCTTTACCCAAGTGACTTGCTTACAGCGACTTACCGGAAGTACTACGGGCACTCACAGCGCCCTGCCGAGGGGCAAACCGTCAAGCAGGCCTGACAACCACGTCGAGAGAGGAAGCTGATTCGTTGCTGTAAAGAACGCTAACGCAGACAGCGCCCTTCGGGAGATGAATATTCCCTTCGTCCGCTCGTGCTCACTGTACTGCGGCTCCCGGTCGCTTCCGCTGGCCTGGATGAGATGCAGCGTACGGGCTCCGTGTTCGACTCCGGGTTTCAGGCCAGCAGAATCAGCAGCGTCGGTGGCATTGTTTTTGAACAATTCTTCGAGCCTGCTATCTTCTCTCTATCATCACAAAGGCCCTTTGGGACTTTGGTTTAACTAGCGATCGAGCCGAACTGTTATCCGTCGTTTCTATGAAGACGCGTCATCCAATATATGGAATATGCATATTCATGCGTGACCTGTGCAACATGTTTTCATTAGGATAGCTTACTATATATATACGAATATGTGTGTATATGCGTAATTTGAACCCAATGATCTCGATCGTCTCGGGCAATGTATCGCCCGAAAACATCTAAACCCAAAACATAAAATCCCATTTTAGGACCTTCCTTGAAAGTTCTTCTTCGTCTTTGTTTTTCTTTCCTGTCTGCTCAGCTCTCGATAGAAATGGGGAGGCATTTTAGAATGCGTTTCGCAGCGAGTTATCTAAATCGACTCTCACTTACCTAGTTACAGCTAAATGCTGAGCTAAGCTAAGCTTGCAAATATAGACTGTGGTTCACTACGGACTGGGGTCGCGGTTGAAAATGTTTTTGGCACCCACCTATGGTGGACTTGAAGGTTTTTTGCACGCACATATACACACACACACACACCCGGTGAACGCGAGGCGAGCCACATTAGACGACGCCGATTTATAAGAAAACCCTCATTTGAACCTCAAACGTTATTGTTTGAATGCTCGCTTAACGTAGAGAAAACACGCGTAAGCTATATCTTTCTGCTTGATAGATAATTTAGGTTTAGCATAGAAAATAAGTGCGCTAAAAATATCTGAGTATTGAAGAATATAAACTAGACAAAGTCCTGGTTTCTATTTTTGTTCTAAAATCTCACCTTGTCATACCTATACATATATGTATAGTAGAAAGGCGTGGTTATGCAATGCTGTGGAAAGGCAGGCTCATCAAACCGAATAAGTTTACAGGAAGGTAAAAAACAAATTACACTTGATAAAATTAAAAATGATAATTGCTGAGATGATGATCGCTTGCTCCCTTGCTGCAACCATCTTTTGCCACATGCCCACGTTACCCTTTGCAATATCATTTATATAACGCAATGCGCGATGCACAACGATAGAACTCCAATGTACAGGATGTTTTTTTTTTTCTTGATTTGTAGTCCCTGTCACCATGCTACTGTCCATTTGAGCATTTTCAGTCCTGCTCTTTCACCATAATATGCATCGTAGACGGTAGATAATAGCGGAAGAATAAATGACACAAAACTTGGTTCGAACACCACTTTTAGATAGGCTTCGTGTTATCAGAAGATGGCCTACATTATAAGCTGTCAACTATTACGTTGCTATTCAGATGCCGAAAATGATCACACTGGACAAAAATTAATTCAACGCGGTGGCCGCAGGACCACAGCAAGAAACCTATTTGATCCATCTGCTCGTTTGCAACATTTAATAGTAGAAAGGTAAGGATACACAAATCTTATTAGAACCAAGTTAATGTTCTGCTAATATCTACAAAGTGGTAAAGTAAACGTGCACGTTACATATATGTATATTATAGCCTGAAATATGAAAATGCCATCCATATCACTGCCTTTCAAGGCCATCTCCGGCGGCGCCATGGCTCTACGTAGCGAGCAGTCATTCCTTTCAGGTGCTTCCCTACGCAGTTCTAGAGTAATATAACTCGAAAGTAACCTTTACGTTCGCGTTATGCCGATACACGACGTTCGTTCGTCTATCATGTGCGTTCCCCATTATACTCTGTTAGGTAGACACTGTTCGTATATACAGAATTCTTAATGCTAGATATCGTCCATGTTAGAATCGAGCATCAAATAGTCTTTAATCATAGAGAAAATGAATAGAGGACAAACATATAGCAAAAGTTTGCTTCATCGTTTCTGAGTCGTTCGAGAATTTCTATCATAACTTTACTCATCATACTGACCTGCATAGAAGCTCAGTAAAGAAAGATCTTTCTACTGGTTTTTCAAGTAATAATTAAATGCATACTCTTTATATTGTACAAACGGCTGCGTAAAAAGTTTGTGATTCTAGGTCGTTACGCCATAATAAATATAATGGTGAAGTTTAGCAGCGTTACTTTCGATACGTATTATTTAATGCATACGGCTCGGTTATCAGTGGAATCTACTGTTCGTTTGCGATGTTAACAAGAAGTTGATGTTGCGAACAAGGGATGCTCAGAGGGGCTATATTGTTGTATCAAGCTGGATTTTCCTTTGCTTTTAGTAGATGAAGGCTTTCAGTGGGCCGCATGAGAATGCTAACAAGCCAGCTGTTGCGAAACTGAGTAATAGGCTAATAATGTTAACTTTCTTTTTTTGGTTCTTGAAAGCTTGTTACAAGATGCCCTACGGCTAAACTTAACTTGCCCTGTTGGCCGTCGCTAGCGCTGCGTGATACTTAAAAGCGACTGAATGTCCAAGTTCAATTTCATGGTACTACTTTGTTCGTCGGACGACAAGGGTATTAAAAAAGATTTTCTGGACATTGGACAGTCGTCAAATAAAGAAAAACCTAATTTCTATTCATTTTTATCACGGGAAACTTGTTCTGTACTTACTTCGATTAGTTTTCTTACTGGTAACGACAGTATTAGTGCTCTCATGTGAGTGGATGCTGGAGGTGGCGTTAAAAGGGTCCTGTGTTAAGTTATCACCTGTGGTTTATATTGTATGCAGTGTTCTACCATAGATAGTTCGTAAATTCTATTCGAATTATTTACATAAAATAAGAAATTGGATTAAGGTGATAACAGCTACACATATGCTATTTGGTCCCGAAAATCCCGAATTTTTCTGTAAACGGCCCGCTTCTAT